CTTATCCTCCCCCTCCAGCCCCCCCTCACTCCACCACCTGTCCACCCCTGCCCTTCTCCGGCCTTCTCCTCCCCACTTACTCCCGCCTTTTCCTCCCCACTTACTCCCGCCTTTTCTTAGGAGCAATATGATTCCTGAGCAAGTGTTCTGTAGCCTAACACAGGAATTTGCAGAACTGCTTATTATGTATTATCCGTGATTACTTAATAATTGTCTGTGCCTTTTGATTTATTAGGAATTATCCCATTTGTCTGGCATTTAGCCTGAAGATGGCATCACGGGGAAAGAGTGAGACGAGTAAACTGAAGCAGAACTTAGAAGAGCAGATGGACAGACTGATGCAGCAGTTGCAAGATCTCGAGATCTGCAGGTGTGGTACCAAAACAGTCAGAAACTTCTGGTTTGATTATTTTTGTTTTTCCCTCCTTTCAACACCTTCAAGTGTAAATGTGTTCATGAAAGGTTTAACATCAGCTGGTGAGAAGTGGACTGACAACAACTTGCATTTCTATAGCACCTTTAGCATGGTAAAACTTCTCTTTGTTTCACTGGAGTATAATTGGACCATAAATTACTGCTGAGTTCTAAAATTATTAAGTTGCTAATAACAATGGCAGCTGGTCAAATCTCATTTTATTATTAGAAACGAATGTCTTTTTTTAGTAACACTTGATTGTATAGATACACTTTGTAGTGAAGTGAGAAAACATGGAGGTAGAACACAAAAGATGCAAGGGCAGAGGGATTCTGGGACGTTGTGTCAAATTTAAAGCTATATATTTGCTGCAGATGGACAAGATCTTGAAGACTGTCCATGGAAAACTGTGAGAGAGAATGCAGTGTAAATGTCTCACCCAACAGTAAAATCAGTGCAATACCATGGACATATGACTTCTGTTTTAGAAGGGTGACCCCTTATTCTAAGATTAGGACCAGAGGGCATAAACTCTCACACAAGAGGAAACAGCCTCTCTGCATCTTACCTGACTTCTTCCCTAAATATGTACACCCCCACCACCCCCTTTAAATCTGACACTGTCTGCTGCAGCAGATCGGTGTGGTATGAATGCTTTTTGACAGAAGGTCAGAATCTTGAATTCCCAAGTCCTACTACCATGCATCTCGAGAAGAAAGATCCTTTGGGGAGTGTGGAGGACTAGAAGGACCTAGCAGTGATCAAAGTCTCCTACTTAAACGTTGGTGTGTTCGCCGAGCTAGGAGGTTTGATAGCAGAAGTTTCGTTCCCATTACTAGGTGACATCCTCAGTGCTGTGGAGCCTCCTGTGACATGCTGTTGTCCTGTGCTGGTTTGAATTTATATGGTCTGGTTTTTGCTGCTTCTGGTAGGTGCTGATTCCAGCTGTGCGTTGTAATGGTCAGTATATCAGGTCTAATTCAATGTGTTTGTTGATGGAGTCCGCGAATGAATGCCAAGCCTCCAAGAATTCCCTGGCTGTCCTCTGTTTGGTTTGTCCTATGACAGTGCTGTCCCAGTTGAAAGTGTGGTTTTTCTCGTCTGTGTGTATTGAAACCAAGGTCATCTGGTCACGTTGTTTAGTTGCTAGCTGGTGTTTGTAGATGCAGGTTGCTAGTTGTCTGTCTGTTTGTCCCACGTAGTGTTTTGTGCAGTCTCTGCATGGTATCCTGTAAACTACATTCGTCCTGTCCATGGTATCTATTGGGTCTTTAACCCTGGTCAGTTGCTGTCTTAGTGTAGCTGCCGGTTTGTGCGCTGTCATGATTCCTAGCCTTCTGAGTAGTCTGGCTGTCAGTTCTGAGGTGTTTTTTAGACAGACAACTAGCAACCCGCATCTATGAACACCAGCTAGCAACTAAACGACACGATCAGACATCCTTGGTTTCAAAACACACACGAGAAAAACCACACTTTCAACTGGGACATCACTACTGTCATAGGACAAGCCAAACAGAGGACAGCCGGAGCATTCTTGGAGGCTTGGCATTCGTCCGCGGACTCCATCAGCAAACACATTGAGTTAGACCCGATATACCGACCATTATAATGCACAGCCAGAACCGGCACCAGCAAAAACTAGACCATATAAATTCAAACCAGCACAGGACAACAGCACGTCACAGGAGGTTCCACAGCACTGAGGATGTCACCGAGTAATGGGACGAAACGTCTGCTATCAAACCTCCCAGCTCTGCGAACACACCAACATCTACAACCAGCATCCGAGCTACAAATCTTCACAGATCACAGAATCCCTACAGTATGGAAATAGGCCCCTCGGCCCAACAAGTCCACACCGACCCCCAGAGCATCCCACCCAGACCCACCTAATCTACACATCCCTGAACACTACGGGCAATTTAGCATGGCCAATCCACCCAGCCTGCATATCTTAGGACTGTGGGAGGAAACTGGAGCACCCAGAGGAAACCCACGCAGACACAGGGAGAATGTGCAGACTCCACACAGACAGTCGCCTGAGGGTGGAATCGAACCCGGGTCCCTGGCGCTGTGAGGCAGCAGTGCTAGCCACTGTGCCGCCCCACTCAGACCATCTTCACTCAAACCCTCTCCTAAAACTATGAATACACAAGAATAGGGGAAGAGCAGGCAAAATGTGATTAAAGATGTCTTTGCACAGAAACCAGACTTCATCAAAGATAAAATAAACCAGAAGTTAAAAATTGGGAAGATGAGAGACTTTCTTGATTGCAGTACTCACACATGCTTGGAGAAATACGAGATTATTAACCAGAAAGATCAGGGAACAGCACAACTGCCAATAGCTTCAAAATTTGGAGTTGACTGAAGAAAATGTACCACTGGTTTGGCATTACGCAACATGAGATCAACATGAATGTCAGTGCAGCCATGATTACATTTCAAGAAGCTAAAAACCAGGAGAACTAATGTTTCAGTACATCAGCAAGTGTTGAGGGGATTGTTTAAGAAGCAAAAAGAAACCATCAATTGGACTTTTAGCTTCTGTATCAAGAACATGGTTTTAAGATTGTGTAGGAGCGAAAATGGCTCAGAGATGATGGTATTTGTTTAATAGAATTAGTTGAAACTTGTATGAGAAAGGAATTAGACAGTCTTAGGGGAAGAATAACTGGAATTTGTTTTCGTTCTGTGTGAATGCTGGAATCTTGCACAAATGAATGTTCTGTCCTAATCCCTGTTTCATGAAGGTGAAAGTCATTAACTCAATGTCATCTGGCCTTTCGTGTTGAAATTATGATTTGCTGTTTATTTATATACGTATTTATGTATGTTTTATGGGAAACTAGATTCACCTTTTACTTGTGAAAAATGTAAAATCTGTGTGTACTTGGGCTTGGGAATGGGAGCATTGTACAGATTTTGATATTTTGAACTCGATAACCCTTTCATTGGGAAGTTACAGGAAATTATGAATGTTTCCAAATCGGCTAGAATTGGGAAAATGATAAAAAGTCCATAGCACTTTAATTTAATGTTGCTTTTTTAAATGTATTTTTGGCAACGGACCTGTAAGAGATTTGAATTTTAATTCATGTTTATTGGTTATTTTACCCCCCTCTTCCATATACCAACACCCCCCCCCCCCAACCCCCACTGCCCCATACCACTTTTCAGAGAGGACCTTGAGCCAGAAGAATATGAAGAAACAAAACAGGAAACTCTGGAACAGCTGAGTGAATTCAATGAGTCACTGAAGAAAATCATGTCTGGAGATATGACGTTAGTTGATGAACTCAGCGGGATGCAGCTCGTAAGAAATGGAGCTGACAAATTTGTACTTGTTTTCAGCTGGGACTGTCCAAGGCAGTAGGCATTGAACTGCAGCTGTGTCAAAGTGATTTCCACTCTACAACAAAAGATTTCAGCTTTAGTTATCACCTTGATAAAAATATACAGAAAATGCTGGGAGCATTCAGCTCACCCTCATGTTCTCCAGGGCAATTAGGGACAGGCAGTAAATGCTGTCCCAGCCTAATGCCCGTTAATTAATAGAGAAGAAAGCTAAGTAGGTCCTCCATGTTTATGGATTGGGAAGAGTTCTTCTTTCTGGTCAATGACCTTTCATCAGAGCTGGAAGAAATTTAATGATGGAATACAGGCAGGAAGTTAAACACTTCCAGTATTTTGCTTTCATTCTACATTCCCAGAATTTGCAATATTCTGCTTTTATATAGTTCCCCTTTCACCTGATATCAGTTGAGACATTCCTGCAAAGCATCTTGTGTCATTTCCTACATTAAAGACACAACATAAATGCAGATTGTTAACCTTAATTGTTTGTAATTTCTGTCGCTCACTCTCGAACACAGGCTCCGTGATAACCAGACAAGATGGCTAACAGTTTTATCAGAAATACTCTTTCAAGCCAGAGATTCGGCTGAGTTGGGTTTTAGATTCAGTGGCCCCAGTCAGTTCTTTAGAGCTGTAGCTACTGAGCTGATTTAATCTTTTGTGCTTGGTTTTTCTTCCAAAATGTCATATGCCGCAAACAGGAAGCAGACCATTTGGTCACTGTCTTTCTTGGATACAGTGTTTTGGTGGCCAGGAACAGTCTTTTGTAATATTGACTTTATACAGCACAGTAGCTTAGAACGGCATGAAGTATGAGATGGGCACGTGGGTTAACTTGTGGGTTCTCAAGAATGAGATTAAGTGAGGGCATCTGTTTTCTGCTGGTACGTCACAGCTAAGCGTTAAGCAAATTTGCCAAGAGGTAATAGACCTTCCAGTAAAAACATAGCTTTATTAAGGATTGTATTGGATTAGTCTGTCAAAACATCTTGTTGCATTTATAGCATCATACAGTAATACTACATGGAAACAGACTCAACAACAGAAATTGGTGGAAAAGCTCAGCAGGTGTGACAGCATCTGTGGAGAGAAATTGGAGTTAACGTTTCGGGTCCAGTGACCCTTCCTCAGTCCCTTTGATCCAACTAGTCTGGCCGACCGTGTTCCCAAACTAAACTAGTGACACTCGCCTGCATTTGGTCCATATCCCTCCAAACCTTTCCTATTCATGTACTTATCCAAATGCCTTTAGTTGCTAAATCTTGGTACAGTGTGCTCACTTTTCTATAGACAAGCTTCAGCTGTCAGAAGACAATTTTGGGCAGAGGGAGGAATGAAATGGAAAATGAAACAGGGGATGTACTATCAAGATCTTGTCGCAGAAAGGCAAAAAGTTAAATGGTTGTTTCAGTGACAGTGGCTGCTGAACATTGTGTTCAGATTCAGTCAAGGGGAGACAGTAACATTGTGGTAATGTCATTGGACCGGTCATTCCTGAAGTAACTGCTCTGGTCACATGGGTTCAAATCCCACCATGGATGGCGGCTGGTGAAATATTGAACTGAATGAAAAGGTGGCCCAGAGTCAACACTGTCAATGGAATGGGACTAATTGGAAAGAGCTAGCACAAACATGGTGGCTGAGTGGTCTCCTGTGCTGTTGGATTCTGTGATCGGAGAAATTAAGTGGGGAGGGAGTATGATGACGTAGAGGTCAAGATATTGGACCAGTAATCCAGAGACCAGGCCACAAACTATCACTGGTTATCTTAAAAACCCATCTGGTTCACTGATCTCCATCAGGGAAGGAAGTCTGCCATCCTTACCCGGTCTGGTCTATGTATCACTCCAGACCCATGGCAAAATAGTCGATGCTTAACTACATTCTGGGCCATTAGGGATGGGCAATAAATGTTGGCGTAGCCAGCAGTGTACACATCCCATGAATTAATCATTTTTAAAAATCAGACTGTTGGAGTGTGAGCTTGGTGGACTTCAGCTGAGTGATGCACGGGTTAGTGAGTGAACCATCCTGCTGGGGAATGTGACTGCATCCCCTCAATATCTCAACTAAATGTAGCGTAAAGGTTTTCCTGGCCTCTTATTCCCGGAGCTCTGAGAGAATTGCATTTGGGTCGCTTATTGGTGGATGTGCCAACTTCTGTCAACCTTTGAGGAAGCTGTTTATCTTTTTTGCCTTCTCTTTGGCAGGCAATCCAAGCAGCCATTAGTCAGGCCTTTAAAACTCCAGAGGTTATCCAAATGTTTGCAAAGAAGCAGCCTGGACAGCTGCGGACTAGACTAGCAGAGGTAAGCAGCCCACAGTGTTTATGATTAATCTGCTGAAAGGTTTTGTTGTGCTATTGACATTTATGAATGCGAAGCTGGAAGGTTACACTCAGGACAGATGATATGACAGATGACAGTTGTGTACACTATTAGCCCACCGTGTTATTGTTTTAACCCTTTCAGCCCTATACTAATCTACTCTCAAAGTAATTTTGCACAATTAAGTGCCAGTTAATAAAAGGGTCACAGTGCATTCATTATAACGTATCGAGTACACTTTTATGTGTTACTTATTTTTCTTGGAATTCAAGTGGTTGAGAAGTGCTTTGAGAAGCCTGGATGATACCAATTAAATTTGATTTTTTTGTTTTGTTCATTCACGGAAAGTAAACGTAAAGTCAATAATTATTGTCCATCCTTAATTGCACCCGAATAGGGGAGGCGATGGCCTAGTGGTATTGTCGCTAGACTGTTAATCCAGAGACCCAGATAACGTTCTGGGGACCCGGGTTCGAATCCCGCCACGGCAGATGGTAGAATTTGAATTCAATAAAAATATCTGGAATTAAGAATCCACTAATGACCATGAATCCATTGTCGATTGTCGGAAAAACCCATCTGGTTCACTAATGTCCTTTAGGGAAGGAAGCTGCCATCCTTACCTGGTCTGGGCTACATGTGACTCTTAACTGCCCTCTGGACAATTAGGGATGGGTGATAAATGCTGCCTGGCCAGCGACCCCCTCATCCCGCGAATGAATAAAGGAAACAAAGTTGGCAGTGAGTGACCTCCTTGAATAGAGCTGTGTGGCATGCTGGGCCATCTCAGAGGGCTGTTAGAAATTAGCCACATTCCTGAGAGTCTGGAGTCACACTTAGGCTAGCCCAGGTAAGGGTGGCAGATTTCCATTAGCAAATCAGAGGTTTTTTTTATGACAGTCCGATAGTTCTACGTTCTAATTGATAACCTTTTATTCTGGATTTGTTAAATGGTTTGATTTTAGTTCGTCAGCCAGCTGTGCTGGGATTTGAACTGGTCGAAAATACTCATTTGATTAATAATCATAAAGCTAATTATGTTCTAAAACTCCATCCGTCTCATATCCATCAGAGGGAGGAAACTTGATGTTCTTGCTTAACCGGGCCTGATATGTGACTCCAGACCCCAACAATGTGGTGCCCTCTTTGTTGCCCTCTGAAATGACCGAGTGAGTCACGTAATTGTAGACAGCTCAGACCCTAGTTGCTTGAGGGCAAATTCAATGTGGTTGACTTTTAACTGCCCTCTGGGCATTTAGGATACGGAATAAATGCTGACCATGCCAGCGACACCCTCATCCCATGAAGAACTTTTTAAAAAGTTATAAAGTATTTCTTAAAATTTCTTTGTAACTCCTGTGTTCCTTCAGATGGAGAGAGATGTAATAGTCGGAAAGCTGCCAAGGGATGTCTACACACAGCAGAAAGTTGAAGTGCTCACAGCATTGAGGAAGCTGGAAGAGAAGGTAAAGATGCTTTCTAAAAAAAATGACATTACCAGTGAGTCGGACAACTGTTTTTAATTTTATGAAGTGTCTCGTAACAGTACACAAATTGACAAATGTGATGATTGACTAGCAATGTGGCAAACTGTCTTATAGTGACTATTTTAAGATAACAAGGTGTGGAGCTGGAGGAATACAGCAGGCCAGGCAGCATCAGAGCAGCAGGAAAGCTGACGTTTTGGGTCTGGACCTTTCTTCAGAAGAGGGTCCCAACCCGAAACGTCAGCTTTCCTGCTCTTCTGATGCTGCTTGGCCTGCTGCTATCCTCCAGCTCCACACCTTGTTATCTCAGACTCCTACTATCTGTTAGTGACTATTTTCCTTGTGTTGGAATACGTATAGTGAACATGGCATTCACAGAATGTGATTCTCGGTTGGTTTTTGAGAATGTGGCCAATAATTAGCGTTCTGATTCTTCTTTCAGCTCACACCTGAAGAAGAAGCTTTTCTCTTGGCCAACGTGAGTGCTGCACTCAGTCAGTTTGAGAAAGTTTCGCGAGACCTTGGTAAGTCCCAGTGGAGCTATGTCTGCCTTCTGTAACCACGTTGTTAAATTCTACAGCTCAGTAAAGTCAGTTGTTACAAATTTCAAAGCACAGTGGAAGTAAGCATTTCAAATTTTGACGTTTTGTTGAGTTTCTCGAAACTCGGGAAGGGGTTTTGAAGAACATGCATTGGGAAGTAGCTGGAATGAGGCTGTTATCTTCTCAGGTGCTGCCCCCTATGGGTAAGGGACATACTCCAATTGTTGCAACTTTCCCTTGCTGCCATATTAAGCACTCTTTTTATAAAAAGACATTACACCTCCCCAACTGCCCGTGCAACCAAATTATGGCAAGGGCAGCATAATATTGGGATCAGTTGTGCTTTTGACAAGCTCAGCCAACCCTTCTTTACGTACCTCCATATGGTGGGTGTGCTGCAGATTTTAGACCCTGCCCAGCCCTCTTATAGGGGCCGGTGGGAAATTGTATGGGCCTGGTATCCCTTTATTTTACCCTTTCTGCCCAGAACACACCTGCCAGAGGCATGTAATATATTACCCTCTGATTTTTGTTAAGTCAGTTACTAACAATAATACATAACTATGTGGATATAGAAACAAAAACAGAAATTGCTGGAAAAGCTCAGCATGTCTGACAGCATCTGTGGAAAGAAATCAGAGTTAACTGTTCTGAGGAAGGATCACTCGACCCGAAACATTCTGTTTTTGTTTCTGATTTACAGTATCTGCAGTTATTTTGGTTTTTATTTATGTGAATATAGACCTGTCTCAACTATTTAAACTCGTTTATGAAGATAGAAAATACACTGAATAGGTCAAAAAATTAAAACGCCACTAAATTTTGTTGGACGTATTAACAAATTAACCAAAATTATCGAACAGATTGTCAACTGGAAATGGAAAGTCTTGCAATTTCGTCAAAGTAGGCCATTCAGCCACTTATGTTTGTTCAACCGTTCTAGATCGTGGATGATCATTTATCTCAATGCCACTCACCTGTGCTATCCCCATATACGTACTTAGTTTTGCACCTAGTAATATTGTGATCAAAATGCTAATGGAACCTTATCTATATGTGTTAAAGGAAAAGAGAAAGCCCTGACAACATATTTGATTTTTTGTGTTTGCTGTTTAACCTTATCTCCATTGAGTGATGCCTCTCAGACATTTGACCAGCCATGAATAAATGATCAGTTAGAGCCATCGTTTAGCAGTCAGTTCGAAACTAAAGGAGTAGCAGGCCTCAGGTTACCTCACCATCCCTCTGGCCTCAACCGATGGGAATGTGAAAATGGAATAGAGGACAAAACCAGTTCAGGTCACTGAAACCTGGGGAGTCCACTGGGGGAAATGGCTAAACTGAATGGAATGGAATCTGACTCAGTCAATAGGTCGTTCACCTCAGCTTCACAAATCTTCGGATTCAAGACCCAATCCCAGGACCTCATGCACAGAAATTTAGCCTGACACTCCTGCAGTGCTGAGGGAGCGCTGCATCGCTGGAGGTTCTGTTTTTCAGATGAAAAATTGAAGACAAGGTCCTATCTGCCTATTCAGTTGGATGTAAATGAATCTATGGCACTATTTGGAGGAAGAGCAAGGAAATTTCCCCTTGTGGAAAGACAAGGTGCTGGAGAAACTTGGCCGGTCTGGCAGCATCTGTGGAGGGAGGGAGACGGAGTTATCGTTTCAAGCCCAGTGTGACTCATGTTTCTGTCTCCACAGATGCTGCTAGACCTGCTGCGTTTCTCAAGCACTTTGTCTTTTTATTTCAGATTTCCAACATCTGCAGTGTTTTGTTTTGTAGAGGTTATCCCTGGTGTCCTGTTCAATATCCATCTCAGTCAGCATCCCGAAAATCAGATTATCAGGTCATCATTGTACTGGCACTTGTGAAGGCTGGCTGTGCGCAAATCAACTGCGCTTCACATATAACTCAGTGACTGTAAAGTATTTTGAGATGACCAGTGACTCTGAAAGTCACTATAAAATGCAAGACCTTTTTTTTTCTCCCTTTACTGTTAGGGAGCCTTTGAAGAACCTGCAAACAATGAAAAAAGAAAATATGTTTTTTAATCTTACAGGAACTGGAGATAAAGTCCTCGCTCTCGCCAGTTCAGGAGTGGAAATCACAAAGAAGTGAGGAGTGACCTAAGATCCAGCCCTCCAGATACCATCCCAATTATTGTTGTTTACATTTTAATGTCTCACTTGTTTCTTTTTGTTTAAATCTGAAGGAAATGTAAAATCAGAAAAGTACTTGTAAATATGTTCTTTGTATGGACAACCGTTCCAAATCTTTTCTTTATGTATTCAGCTTTAAACACTAGCATTTTGAACTGCCATCCTTTATAAAATAAAAGCCTCATTTCCATTTATACCATTCCCTTGTTGGGTTACTTACAATCAAGAAATGATGACTGTTACTTTCACTGCCCAGTCTTGCACAGGAGAAACTCACCAACTCTTCTTTAGCAGCAGATACATGGGAACTCCCACCCCTGAAAAAGCTCCTTTCTGAACCAAAGACCATCCTGGCTTGTAACTAGATCTCTGGTCCTTCACAGTAATAGCGTCATAATCCTGGAGTGCCCTTACAGCGCTGTGGATGCATGTACATCACAGACTGCATCATTTCAAGAAGGTGGCTCATCACAACCTTCTGCAGGGCAATAAATGCTGGTCTAGCCTGCAACACCCTCATCCTGTGAAACATTTTTAAAAATGTTGTTTTGGATAACAAAAATTTGATCAGGTCATAGTCGTAGATTCACACAGCACAGAAATAGACCCTTCAGTCTAAATCACCCACACTGACCGGCCATCTCAATCTGATGTAGTCCCATTTGCCAGCTTTTGGCCCATATCCCTCTTAAACCCTTCTTATTCATGTAGCCATCCAGAAAATTATGGGCTTTTGAATTTGCCCGTGTTTATGAAAAGAATAGATTATTTTTCTTGTGGGTGAGGGAGATAGTTACAAATGTTAAATAAATTAATTATTCTAATTGTTTTAAAGACGATTCTATTTGAGATGGTAAGGTTTGAAGTGACCTTTTTGTCTTTTATCCATTATTGAACTAATCCACTCCTTTGGTGCTTATCACAAATCAGCCGCTAGATGGTGTGTGAATCTTGCTCTCGCTCTCACTCTCAGCACTTGGCCGTTACTCAACATCTTTCCATGGCAACACAACTGGAAATTTGGAAGTCAGGAGGAGGCATAACACAGGCATAAACCTGTGCCACGATACTTAGCACATAATAATTAGGCTTCTGCAGTATTTTACTGCCAAGATGTTAAATATATTGAATTACAAATGCAGTAATATTTCCGACAGTGTACGTTGTTCCAGTTCTCTTTTGGCAGTACTGGCTATTGCTGTGGTATGAAAACCTTTTTCCCCTCCAGTAAGGCATTCTTTGTAACCCCAGACAGTTAATTATTTGGAGACCCTCAGAGCAACCTGTGTTGAAATCACGAATGTCATAGAAAATAGGAGTAGGATTAGGCCATTTGGCCCTTTGAGTCTGCTCCGCCATTTAGTTTGATCATGGCTGATCACCCAGCTCAGTATCATGTTCCACTTTCTCCCCATGTCCTTTGATCCGTTTCACACTAAGAGCTATATCTAAATCTTTCTTGGAAATATTCGATGTTTTGGCCGCACCCACTTTCGGTGGCAGAGAATTCCACATGCTCACCGTTCTCTGGGTGAAGACATTTCTCCTCATCTCAGTCTGAAACGGCCCTCCCTGTATCCCTGTTTCTGTGACCCATGTTTCTGGAGTACCCAGTCATCAAGAAAATCCTTCCTGCATTTACTCTGTTCAGTCCTGTTACAATCTTATCCGTTTCTATGAGACTCCCCCCTCATTCTTCTAAACTCGAGTGAATATAGTCCTAAACAACAACAATAAAAACAGAAATTGCTGGAAAAACACAGGAGGTCCGGCAGCATCTGTGGAGAGAAACAGAGCTAATGTTTCAGGCCCACTGACCCTTCTTCAGAACCCTAACCAATACGCAGTCCTAACCAGTCCAGGCTCTCTCCATGTATCAGTCCTCTCATTGCAGGAGTCACTAGTAACCAAGAAGTTGTTTACAGCGATCTAGCTCAGAAACGTTACCTGGAGATTCTGTTTGGTTTACGCTGGGCAAACAGAGTTAAATTCCATGTAATCTCTTTTCCCATTCAGTCGTTTTTTTTTGTTTTAATTTATTACTGTCACATGTGCCTAGGTACAGTGAAAAGTTTTGTTTTGCGTGCCGTACAGGCAGATCGTACCATACAAAGACACAAAGATCATAGGGTGATTGAACAGAGCGAGGAATGCAAAGTGACAGCTGCAGAGAAGCTGCACAAAAAGCAAGATCAAAAATTTGGTTTGAAATCGGAGAGATCCATTCAGAAGTCTAATAATAGCAGGGAGGAAGCTGCTTTTTTTTTTCCTTTATTCATTCACAGGATGAGGGGCATCACTGGTTAGGCAGCATTTATTGCCCATCCCTAATTGCCCAGAGGGCAGTTAAGAGTCACCCACATTGCTGTGAGTCTAGAGTCACATGTAGGCCAGACCAGGTAAGGATGGCAGTTTCCTTCCCTAAAGGACATTAGTGAATCTATTGGGTTTTTCCTGACAATTGATTCATCATTAGAATATCATATCAAATATCATTCCAGATATTTATTGAATTCAAATTCCACCATGTCCTGTGGTGGGATTTGAACCCAGATCCCTGGAACATTATCTGGGTCTCTGGATTAACAGTCCAGCAATAATACCACTAGGCCATCGCCTCCCCTGTTGGTACGTGTTTAAGCTTTTGTATCTTCCGCCTGACAGAGAGATTATAAACAGGTTGGGAGTGGTCTTTGACGATATTGGCTGTCTTTCTGAGGCAGCGAGAAGTGTAGATGGAGGTGATAGGTCAGGATATCATAGAATCATACAGTACAGAAGAGACCCTTCAGTCCAATGTGTCTGCACTGACAAAAAAGACTATTCTAAATCTACATTTTCCAGCACTAGACCTATAGTCTGGAATACTATGACATTTCAAGTGCTCATCCAAGCACTTTTTAAAGGTTGTGAGATTTCCCACCTCAGCAACTCTCCCAGGCAGTGCATTCCAGGCCCCCACCACCCTCTGGGTGAAAGCCATTTTCCTCAAATCCCCTCCTAGCTTTCGCCTTGAAATTATACCCCAACATTAGGTTCTGACAAACACAAAATGGTCATCATTAGATACTTATCTCCAGATATTTATTAAATTCAAATTCCACCATCTGCCATGGCAAGATTCAAACCCAGGCCCTAGAATATTAGCTGGGTTTCTGGATTAATAGGTCTAGCAATAATACCACTATGCCATCCCCTCCCTACATAGTGACAGATGGGAACGTAGGAGCAGATGGAGTCCGTTCTATGTTGTGGCTGATGGTCTACTTCAATGCCATGTTCCCATGCCATGCCTATGATCCTTGATGCCATTAGTACCTAGTCAAGACCCGATGCACGTTGGGACATGTCACATGTCTGACAAAAGCACCATCAGAGATTCTCAGACCTTTGGGCATTGAGAGAGTCAGAGGAGGAGACAGCATTCATAAGCAAGGAGGAGAAAATAGAACTTGCAGCCAATGAACGAGCGATAAGTTCCCAGCCCCGAGATGTTCCTTGTTGTCTGGCAAGAGACTGGAACCCTGCAGAGCTAAGCATACAAGAATGAGCAGTGCACAATTTTTGTGACTGATCTTCAGATTAGGTCACTTGATGTGCTGCTGAAAAATGTGACCCTCCTTATTGAACCTTCAACCAAGGGGAACAGCTGCCTTCTATCCACCTTGTCCATAATCTTATACACCTCTATCAGGTCTCTCAGCCTCCTCTGTTCCAAAGAGAACAACCTGAGCTTATCCAGCATCTCTTCATCGCTGAAATACTTCATTGCTGAAATACTCCATCCCAGACAACATCCTGGTGAATCTCCTCTGTACCCCCTTCCGTGCAATCACAACCTTCCTAACAGTATGGTGATCAGAACTGCACACAGTACCCCAGCTGTGGCCTCACTAAAGATCTATACAGCTCCAAAATGACCTCCTAGATCTTATAATGTATGCCATGACTGATAAAGGCAAGCAACCTGAATGCCTCTTTAACTACCCTATTAAATTGTCCTGCCACCTTCAGGGATCCGTGGACAAGCATCCCAAGATCTCTCTGTCCTCTGAGCTTCTTAGTGTCCTGCCATTCATTGAGTACTCCCTTGTCTTATTCTTTCTTCCAAAGTGCATCCCCTCACATTTATCAGGGTTAAATTCCACCTGTCATTGTCCATAGTAAAAGTGTCAAACCATTGTTTCTGTGGGTGATGCTTGGTTGGTGAGGAGTCTTGTGGCTGTGCCAGCCATTGGAAAAGTCATTGTGGCAAATGTGTGTTGGATAATATTCGGTGTCACTGAAATGCAGGCCATAGCCCTCCCACGTTAGACATGTGTTGTTAGCTGTGACATAGATGCAATGACAGTCACATTGTACCCAAAGGAAAAGAAATTCAACTATTATTGTCCATGGTTTTCTAAGCATCTGCACATGTTCCTGGTTCTTCTTTAATGATTCTATTCAAAGGAATGCTCCTCGTCCATTTTATTGATTTCTGTCTTGATTTTAACAAGTTTGGTCATGATGCCTCTTCAACATTCTTTTTTGCTGCATTAAGAATGGATCAATTTCCCTTAGCAAAATGCTCAGAAGCTTGAAACTGTCCTCTCCGGTCTTTGAATCTTTCCCATTACCTCTGTCTTTTTCATAAAAAGATTTGACAAATTAGAATCTTCAAAGCTGAAACCCTTTTGCTGCTCTCAAGTGGGTTGTCTGTGATGGTGTCTGTAAAAGGCTGTGCAGCTTTTGAACTCGGAATATTAACTAGTCTGGGAGAAACGAACAGCGGGTGGAATATTCTTTTGTGCCATTGTTTGGCAAATAATAAAACAGTGATCAGTAATTTCTGTGTGTGTTGATTCTGTGTAAGTGGTGCCTAACTGTCCTTTTGAAAAACAAATCAGTTTTCAAGATGGAAATCCCTGCTTGCTGAGGCAGCCTGGATGCTTCTGCGTCAGAAGGTATCATTAATTCATTCAAGGGGTTCGGATGTTAACGGAATGGCGCAGAATTTACTGCAGGATTCCAACCTCATGTTCAACAACTGGCCCACACCGGGAGCTGTCACAATCTGCTCTTGTCTCTGGCCTTTCTGCTTGACCTTACAGCTGACTGATTAAACGATGGTCCTGCTAGATCGACACTCCCTGTTGCCGTCAATGTAAACAAAATGGGGCAGCACAGGCACTTGGTGAATTTTAAACACAGC